ACACCCTTAAAGATAATGTTATACTTTTGAGAAGTAAATGCAATCTGAGTTCTATAAGTAAACTACAGTAAACCTATAGAAAACTTTACTCTTTATCAAGTTAATGTTGCTCTAGAGTTAACAGGGTATTATACCCCGGGTTTTTGGGGTATTGGGGTTTAGTAGGTTGAGGTGGGTTTAGGGGTAGCAAATATGAATGAGCAATACCCAAACTCTTAGGAAGTTGGTATTGAATCATTACCAGTCATAACCGGACGAAGTACACATATGACCCTACCGGCATCGGTAATATCGATGGTTACGGCGTAGTAATTTGGTGGTAATGAAATCGTTACCACTCAGAATCAGACTATAACCAATCCGGTAGGGAATTATTACCAAATCAATACCAGTAAGGAGTACATAGGTGACTCTACCGGATGCTTTACATTGCACGGGTAGTCGGGGTAGTTGGGTTTTTCAAATTTACATGTAGAATTCAGATTGAATGTACTCTTGAAAAGTGTAACCTTTAATAGTTAAGACTGCCCATGCAAATAAAAATCACATACCAGTGTAGCTGTATTGTTTGTCGTGTTCCAATTCGCGAGTACTGTGTAATTGCAGATGAGGATAATATGGGACGAGAACAACTGCAACGCGACAAATGTATATCCCGAAGTTAGCATTAATAATTTGTGAACCAGTTGCACATTAATATATTCCTTTAGCAGATTAGATGGATTCCGCAAGCTTGAAAATGCATAATGTTGAGCTGCATTGAGTTTTAATTCTTGCAAGACCACGACGAGTGAAACTGTAAATTGGAAATAAGAAAGTATAAAATCTTATTAATTGAGGACTCGATGACTCAAAATCAGCACATTTTTAGTCACTTATTGCAACTGATATAGTGGTGGTTTAATACCGAGCTAGATATTAAACACTACACGGTATTAATTACTTTACAGCTTTGGATCATACATTTGAACACCGCTTGATATTATTTTAATACCAGATTTCTAAGGGTGTAATGTTATTTAAATTTGTTGCGCACTCATATAAATGGTCCCCATAACGATAATCCACATCAGCACGTACCACGATATGCTTGATACCCATGTTATTGTTACCAGGAAAATTATACTGCAAATTATATTCTCATTAAATCCGCACGTTGTTGGGAGCACTTGTCTCACGTGGAGGGGATGGTCTGACGAGAATATGAAGAAAATTGTCGTTGAAATTGGGAGAAACAAAAGCACGACGATTTCAATTAGTAATGCGAAATTTATGAGCAGCGTGTACTTCCGTAATTCCTTTTTGGCCATGGGTTTCATCCATTTTGCTATAAGAATATTACAAAAACAACATTTAGATAATTCACGCAGTCTTTGGGTATCGACTTGTAAAATCTATGGGTTTTGTAAAATCATTTTACAAACTTTACAATTTGCAGTGAAAAATCCGTTCTGAGTACTAAGCTTAAGCAAAAATTACGTCGTCATCGGTTCTTAAGTGTGTGCCAAACTTTCGTAAGTTTACGTGGTCGCGGTCTACTTACGAAGACTGACGTAAAATGCGACAACGTTACCAAGCATAGCGTGAATTGTCTCGTTAAATTTAACGTATCTTAACAACAAAATTTAAAAAAATACCTATGAATTTCGGAAAGTAATCGAGCAAGCGGTTCACCCCGAGATAAAAATCTGCATAATGTACTTGGTAATTGAGTAGCATGCCGGATACCAAGCTTGCAGCGCAGCAAAGCCCGTACGCAGTGCAAAATTGAGGGTCCGTCGTATCGTTAACAACATACCAAAATTTGATGGTCGGGATGATTATGAAGAATGAGCAGAAGTTAAAATAAATAATTGATACCATTAAAAACTTTCTCCGTGAACTTTCCGTGGAGTAAAATTTTTTAGTTTTTGTGTCCATGATTGCACTAAATGCGCCGATTTTGGCGGAGGATTTTGCAACGATGGATAACAATTTGAAAGTACAGGTTGAATACATGTTGGCCTTAATTATTTTGTCGTTATAAGTATTTAGTATTAAGTAGAATAGGAGTTTGCCCGTATTGAATACGTATTTAGCTCAGAGAATCGTAAACAGTTGACCTTTTCCTGACCAAAAATGTCTTTTAACGTATTTACATATAAAAAACGTGTCCATAAGGGACCAGACACATTGCATCATGTATCAACAAAATAAAGCTGGTAGGGGAGATCGAGTGGATTACATAATGCACAAAATGAGACGTGTAATGCTTCTTTATTTGTCTCCTACATAATCAAAACCAGCCTGGATATATGCACGTTTCGAATTGATTTTAATATTTTATTCGCAAATTTGTTTGATTGGGATATCCACCGGATGTTTCGTTTGTGATGTTATTTTCATTAAATTTCCCACCACGGAAAAGTTTTAACGCCTTACTGATTATCCATATTTATTCCTTCAAATTCGACAATGTTTTTCCAAAATCTAAATATCCAACTCTGTGTTTTATACAATTTGTTGATCGTTGAGTTCTTCTTTGTTGTATGAAGTACTACTTAAATGTCCGAATATGCCATTTTACATAAATAATTTCCTAAGTTTTAATTTGTTGGTCACTGCCTGAATTCGGATTTTGATCATCATTTTGCCATCATATTAAATTAATTTGGACAATTTAAAAGATAATGGACACATAAATAGAAAATCGTTGGTAGATAAATATGTATGTACGTGGGTGTTTTATTATTAATTTTCAAAATGTATGTTCCACACTGTTTCTGACCAAACTTTTGATGAAATAACAAACTTCAAATACTTTTAGAATGCTGTGATTTTTTTCAGTTCTGTAGGTTAACATTAACACTAGCAATAACTCATTAAAATTTACCTCGAAAATATGCCAAAATTTACGACTTGATTTCATTATCATCCGAAAACCGTTTTCCCCTGATGTTTTTCTTTAAGTTTCGAAACGAATAATAATCACTAAGGGTCAAGTCCGGACTGCACGGGGTGTGGTTTGTGCAGGTAAAGCGATTTTCGTCTGCACTAACCCTCGCAAAAAGCCAGGTATGAGGTGGCGCGTTGTCGTCTAAAAAAAGGCCAACTCTTTATTTTGACCCCACGTTTCTTTTCAACCGGAGGACGCAGCTCCTTCGGGGTTCCTGCATACACGGCCCCATTTATTGTAGTATTTACAGCAATAAATTTTATAAGGAGGTGACCTTTGGTATCCTTGAAAGCGGTCATCATCATCTTTTTGTCAGATTTTTGCACTTTTCAATTCACGGGCGGTGGCAACCCCTCGTGCTTCCATTGAGGGAATTATTATTTGGTCACCGGGTCATAATAGTAAACCCAAGTACCATATGCAACTAATAAAATATTGAGCAGGTTCAAGTCTTCATTTAATTAAAATTGGCATTGCAAAAGTCGACTCGATCCTGTTTTTGAGATGCTGAAAGCAATTTTGGTACCCAACGAGCGGAAACCATTTTCATACCTAAGTCTTCAGTTAACATGGAACAAATTGCTGGTTTTGAAACACCCATCTCATCTTCTAAATAGGACAGTTTCAATCGCGGATCTCTCATTATTTGTTCCTCTAGTTTCCGGAGCCTTTCTGTGGAAGAAACGGATTTTGAGCGTCCTGGCGACTTTTTGCCCGAGACCTCGTTTCGCCATCGTTTAAAATTATTGACCCAATTGAATTTGTGTTTTGTGTTGGGCAGTCTTCATCGTAAATTTTAAGGATTCAACCATAAATCTGCGACACTTATTACCCATCCAGCATTAAAAATTAAATCACACTACGATATTTAATTTGCAAATCTAGCATTTTTTCCGTCGAGGTAAAGTTTGCCGATTTATTGCTAGTGTTTATGTTAACCCACAGAGCTGAAAAAAATCACAGCCTCCTAAATGTATTTGAAGTTTGTTATTTCATCAAAATTTTGGTCAGAAACAGTGCGGAACATACCTTTTGAAAATTAATAATAAAACACCTACGTACTTACAAAATATTTATCTAGAGAAAATAACCCCGGGAAAAATTAGTATGATTAGCTGCCTTAATCAATATTTCTCTTGTCGAAACTTTCATAGACTGTACTAGTCGGTGTGGCCACGAGTTTTATGTATAATTGATTAAATTAGCCTTGTGAATGAAGTATGTATACATATGTATGCATATTTATTTATTTACGCACATGTACATATGCACGTACTTAAGTCTCCAGCTTAAAAAAATGTTAAATATAATAATGCATGCATATACTCTGGGAGTAGAATTTATACGCACATGAAAAATAATACATTCTGCACGTATGCATGTATTTGTGGTAGTATACAATTCTGCATAATTCTGCATAATTCTGCATAGTTTGCTTTTGATGGATGGATATTTAGTGCAATTGCGCGAAAAAAGTCTAACCATAAACTTATTTAGAAAGCACAATGAACTTGAAAATATGTACATATGTACTCGAGCTAATGTTGAATGTACTTAAGAATGCATTATGTACATAAATAGCACCATCAAACACTTTTAGGTATTCATGATACATACGTCAAGTAATTTTTGAGACATTACATACATTTGGAAATTTCGCACCATAACTGTATATACCACTTTTACCCCTCTAACTTCAATCGGTAAGGTCCAAATTACTTGGAAAACTATGGTCGACAAGGCAAGAATGGTTTACAAAAATGTCATATGTTCTGTAATGTCAACAACTTGGGTGTTTATTAGTAATTCGCATACTAATAAACACCCAACACGGTTATACAAAAACCGGTATCCGACTCGACTCAATTCTAACTCCATAACCTCACCGTCTTTCGTTTAGGGACATTTTCTGTTTTTCATAGATTTGTTTGCCACCATACCTTTAATTGGGCAACGTTTGTATTCCGATTCTGGTTTGCTCACGAGGGGCCTGATTTCTCCCTCATGTTTCCAAAAACTATATATATAAAAACTAACATATTTTAACTTCGAATTTGGACATCTTTTATTTAAACTTTAATTAAGTGGATAAACAAATTGGGTCAAGAACAACATCAATCATATCTGGCCGGCGCTTGTTGTATCATTGCATTTATAATATCTTTATGGGTGGTTTAGGACTAGGTGTCCCATGGGGAGGGGTACCCCCAGAGCATTGCGGAACTTGAAATGGTAATCGACAGATGTATGTATCCCACTGGAATAAATAATTTGTAATTTCCATATGCACTTTAACCAGGCACTTGTCTAACAATGGAACCTTTTTGCAAGATTGTCCAACGAGTTACATAAAAAAGATCAAACCAAAAATGAGGAATCACATGGCACTCATATAAGAAAAACATGTATTGGCGACAAAGTTAAATTTTTGCGTAAATTTTCTCTCATTTTCCCTCCACGGGGAAAAAACCAAGGCACTCGTGAAGACTTTGCCCCCCCCCCCATATATTGTTTTTCAAAGGGGCTATTCAGCGGAATGATGAGGTTCCTAGTTTTTGGCTTGATGTTTTGATATAACTCGGTACACAATCCCGCCATAGTTTGGAAAGAGGTTCCATTGTGAGTATTTTTTACATATTTCGTCCAACTTACTGATTCAAAGTAGTAGCCCGAAGGACAGGCTTTCGGGATTGGTGGCAGAGGTGATTCTCGACAAGTGTAATACAGACTACAGTTGTGCGGGTGGCCAATATCTCCGATATAACCGGGTGGACAGATCCATTCAGAAATTGGGTCCTACATACATATTTTGATATACATTAAAATAATAAAACATGTTCCATGAGCTTGACTATTTAAAAACATTGGGCACACCGTTGTTGTTGTGATCTCGGGTTGAGTTGGTGTCGTTGTGGAGGGTTCCGTAATTACTGTCGTGGTGGAGGGTTCCATTCTACATAAAATTGGAAATAATAATTTTATTCAGGACATAATAATTTCATAATGCATTCTTACAATGCACATGTCAGACATGTTTATCACCGATTTTCTTAATACCAGCACTTAAAGATTAAGTAATTTAACACAAACAACTAGTTGATTGTGGCACTCGAGCACTTATGTACCTAAAACTCGCGGAGTTAAGAAGGTTTTAAGTTATGAAAAACGCACATTTTCACCATCGAATAACGGAGAGAAAGTGAACGCCGTATAAATATTTTCGCATCTTGCAAATGCGCGTTTTTGCTAGCTTAAAACCTATATAATTCCGCGAATTCTATAGAATTGGTCACGTCTCACAGTAAATTTTGGCTGTGTTTAGCTACTCTATTTTTTAACGCTTGTTTTAGGAAAATCCTTGACAAACATATCTGACATGCGTATTGTTAGTCTCACTCCGTTATTTCACAAATGTAGTGCAATTCCGTATTTATAGCATTTGACACCCATTGCGTCCCTCCGAAAAGGCTATTTTTAATCGAGATGGCATAACCCTGCATCTGAATTGGTTCGGATGAGCTTTCCCAATTAATCCAAGGCGCCGATGTGTCAACAGTTTCGCCAGTACCTATCCAATGATACGCCAGTGTTTCAGGGTCATCATTGAATATGCCGCCGGTCCATATTTGGTCTAAAATTATTGTTTACTAGCGTATAAGCCCGTCTCCCGCCGGGCGAGAGCTTATTTGATTTTCATGAAAATTGAGTGGAATTTTGCAAAACACTAACCAATTATGGTGCAGGCATTTTAATTAAAGCCAATTTAGATTGTATCTTGCTGACAGGCTTATTGGCCGACCTCGTAATCCTTAATAACATTGGAGACTAAAATTGGCATTACTTTACCAATTGTTGACCGATTTTCAAAATTGCGACTGTTTTGGAAAGCTCAGATCAATTGGCGAAATATATATTTCCAGATTTTTCAAATTCGACCACACCCCCTCGAAATTAAGGTCACAATTTCAAAAAATACATAAAATACAATTGATGCATACCCCGGAATTTGAAAGAACAAAAATCGAGTAGTATGTCGAAAAAATACCTCGACCCCCTGGGCACCCTGAACAATGTTCAAGGGGTCACATACCCCACTGGGGGGTGTGACCATAGGCGCCTTTTCGATTTCAATGAAACCATGTCATGTGATATATCATTTTTCTCAGCACGATGAGTACATTACGACTGAATACTTAAAATTTACGAACCACACCCCCAGTGGGTGCGGTTCTCAGAAACTTTTAGATTTCAATGAAACCATGTCATGTGATATATCATTTTTCTCAGAACGATGAGTACATTACGACTGAATACTTAAAATTTACGAACCACACCCCCAGGGGGTGTGGTCCTCAGCGACTTTTCGATTTTAACGAAACTGCGTCATGTGACACATAATTTTTCTCAGCTGCACGAGGGGACCCCGACAGAGTAATTGGAATTTTAAAACCACACCCCCCCGTGGGTTTGGTTCTCAGAAACATTTAGATTTCAATGAAACCATGTCATGTGATACATCATTTTTCGCAAGACGATGAGGACATTAGGAATCAATACTTCGAATTTTAAAACCACACCCCCAGTGGGCGTGGTCCTCGACGACCTTTGGATTTAAAGCAAACCATGTCATGTGATATATCATTCTTCTCAGCCCGATGAGGAGATTTCGAATGACGAACTAAAATTTTAATACCACACCCTTAGTGGGTGTTGTCCTCGGCGACTTTTCGCTTTTAACGAAACTATGTCATGTGATATGTCATTCTGCTCAACTTGAGGAGATTTGTATTGAACATATTAAATTTAATAACCACGCCCCTAGTGAGAGGGGTCGTCGGCGACTTTTAGATTTTAACGAAACCATATGATATATCATTTTTGTCAGCTAGATGAGGAGATTTCGATTTAATATTTAAAACTTACGAACCACACCCCCTATGTTTGTGGTCCGCGGGGAGCACACCCCACTGTGTTATGGTTGTCTACATGATTCTTAATTTTGCGGAAGTCATGGATTTGAGGGTAACTTTTTTCTTCACCCAGTGGTTTCTAAATTTAATGATACGCCCGAAAATTTTGTATGCGCCGGAGTAAAATTAGACTTAATTTTTCTTTGACATCGTAGATACACTGACCATTCGATGACGCCAGTGGTCTCTCTCCGATTTGGACGAAACCTCGATAATTATATAGCATTAGATTAATAATTATACCCCGTGTTTTCATAATGCTCAGTTGAGACGAAATTATGACGGAATCTATGAGCGGGAATTTACATTTTTACCGTGGCATTTTCCTCGCGAGGGGGAAAAGTACAGATTCTCGCTTAAGCTTTCCGTCATAATTTAGATTAAAATGCATGAGCATGGCTTTCTTCAACTCCGAATTGCCAGATCAAATTTTGAAATTTTTGAATTTTAAAAATTTCTGCCAGAATTTTATGATGCGTCTCTATTTTAGGTGTTTAAACTTTGGTACAAATTTTGTGCCCCAAATTTCTGGCTTCGAATGTGAAGTCATGGACTCAACCATCGTAGTAATCTCCTCATCGGGCTGACAAGGGACACTCATGACCTGTCGTTTGAGTCCAGAGTACCCACTATGTTTTTTAGAATCTACTAGGACCCCAGATGGAGGATTCATTCATATTTCCGTGTAAAACTCATATTTGGCGCCATGGCGTGGCGCCAACTTCGCCAAATTTGCATGTTTTTATTTTTGAAACCGCCATAACTTTTGAAAACCTGGACGGATTTTCAAAATTTTTGGCAAAAATCATGACAAGGAGTTCAACTTTCGTATCCAATGAAATTTTTTCCAAAATTATCACTTTCAACTTTTCGCAAAATTTCGTAGTTTTCTTATAAACGGGGGTTCGTCGAAAAAATGCTGAAAATATTTCAAAAATTATAAATTTTTTATTTTTATTTTTTTCTAAAAAATTTCGACTTTTGTGATCATTTTAAGCATAACATTTTGAAAATCCGACATAAACTGCAAAAGTTATGGGGGTTTGAAACTGGTCGAAAATTCAAATTTTGAAGTTAGGCGAATGAATCCTTCATCTGGGGTCCTAGTAGATTCTAAAAAACATAATGGGTACCCTGGACTCAAACGACAGGTCATGAGTGTCCCTTGTGAGAAGAATGATATATCACATGACATGGTTTGCTTTAAATCCAAAGGTCGTCGAGGACCACGCCCACTGGGGGTGTGGTTTTAAAATTCGAAGTATTGATTCCTAATGTCCTCATCGTCTTGCGAAAAATGATGTATCACATGACATGGTTTCATTGAAATCTAAATGTTTCTGAGAACCACACCCACGGGGGGGGGTGTGGTTTTAAAATTCTAATTACTCTGTCGGGGTCCCCTCGTGGAGCTGAGAAAAATTATGTGTCACATGACGCAGTTTCGTTAAAATCGAAAAGTCGCTGAGGACCACACCCCCTGGGGGTGTGGTTCGTAAATTTTAAGTATTCAGTTGTAATGTACTCATCATCCTGAGAAAAATGATATATCACATGACATGGTTTCATTCAGATCTAAAAATTTCTGAGAACCACACCCACCGGGGGTGTGGTTCGTAAATTTTAAGTATTCAGTCGTAATGTACTCATCGTTCTGAGAAAAATGATATATCACACTAGCCTATAAGCCCGTCTTAAACACGGGCAGCATTTCAAATTTTATACGAACATGTCAAAAGTACTTACTGAAGCAGGCTAATTACGTGGGTGCTTTATTATTGATTTTCAAAATGTATGTTCCGCATTGTTTCTGTCCAAAGTTTTGATGAAATAACAAACTTTAGATACATTTAGGAAGGTATGATTTTTTTCAGCTCTATCGGTTAAAGGTAACACCCGCAATGAATGATCAAAATTTACCTCGAAAATATGCAAAAATTTACGACTTGATTCTATTTTCATCCGAATATCGTTTCCTCTTCATGTTTTTCTTCAACTTTCGAAACGAATAATAATCACTAAGGGTCAAGTCTGGACTGTACGGGGGGTGGTTTATGACGGTGAAGCGATTTTCGTTTACACCAGCCCTCGCAAAAAGCCAGGTATGAGGTGGCGCTTTAGCGTGCAAAAAATGCGCCAACTCTATTCTTTCACCCTACGTTTTTCTTCAACCGCAGCACGCAGCTCCTTCTGGGTTCCTGAATATGCGGGCTCATTTATCGTAGTATTTTTAGCAATATCTTTGATAAGCAGGGGACGTATGGTGTCCTTGAAAATGGTAATCATCAATTTTTTGGCAGAATTTTACGCTTTTGCAAACTTGGGCGGTGGCGACCCCCCGTGCTTCCATTGTATAAATTATTATTTGGTCACCGGGTCATAATAGCAAACCTAACTAGCGTAGCTAGCTAGCAAGGTATGAAGTAGGTTCCAGTTTTTATTTAAGAGCTCAAAATTTGCATTGCAAAAGTCGACTCGATCCTATTTTTGAGATGCCTAAGGCCATTTTGGTACCCAACGGGCGGAAACCATTTTCATACCTAAGTCTTTAGTTAACATGGAACATATTGTTGGGTTTCGAACACCCATCTCATCTACTAAATAGGACTGTTTCAATCGTGTTTTCGAAGCCTTTCTGTGGAAGAACCGGATTTTGAACGTCCTGACAACTTTTTGTCCGAGACCTCTTTTCGCCATCATTTCAAAATATTGACCCAATTTACATTGTGCTTTGTGTTGAGCAGTTTTCATCGTAAACTTTAAGCATACAATCATAAATCTGCGACACAGATTGCCCCTGCAGCATTAAAAATTAAATCACACTACTATATTTAATTTGCAGATCTGACATTTTTTCCGTCGAGGTAAAGTTTGCTGATTTATTGCTAGTGTTTATGTTAACCCACAGAGCTGAAAAAAATCACAGCTTCCTAAATGTATCTGAGGTTTGTTATTTCATCAAAAGTTTGGTCAGAAACAGTGCGGAACATACCTTTTGAAAATAAATAATAAAACACCTACGTATAGTAGTAAATACATACATACCTATGTAACTACTGCGATTTACTAATCTCCATGGAAATTTTAATTATAGATTTGAAAACATAATTCAGATTTTAAGTCCCTATAATCTTAGGCTTGTTTTGAGAATTAATTTAGGAATTTTAATTACGTTGCTAAGAACTTGTGAATACAGCTAACGGACATCGTGATCGTTCTCACCCAGTTTCTAAGGTTGTTAACGAATTTTTATGATTGCTAAGGAATTTTTTTATGTTAAGAAATTTTTTTTACGTTGCTAGGGATTTTTTTTACGTTGCTAGGGATTTTTTTTACGTTGCTAGAGAAACTTTTTTATGTTGCTAAGGAAATTTTTTAACGTTGATTATGTTTGGTGAGGAATTTTTTGACGTTGCTAAAGAAACTTTTTTATATTCCTAAATAATTTTTTTACGTTGCCAACGAAATTTTTTCATGTTGCTAAGGAATTTTTTTACGTTGTTAATTAGTGGCCAGAGTTTGCCACGGCTCTTGCAAAATAAGCTCCTCCCTCAGAAATTTTGACCCCAGAAAACTCATGGTTGCAGTCATTTTCACTCGGGCAACAAAAGCTTAAAATGTAGCTCGTCTAATAGAGAAAATACTGGCATCAGGTTGTCACACTCAAAATGACCGCAACCACAAGTTTTTTAACGATTTATGTGTATGTCAAAAAAACCGCCAATTTTCGAATTTTGAAACTTTTGATGCATCAGAATGTCCGTACTCACAGGACAAGTCAAATGTCAAATACAAGGTATGGTCTAATTCTGATGTTACCGAGTGTACATTAGCTTTCTCATTTTTTCCAGTTTCCTTCCTCAATTTTTAAAAGGGGGGTGGTTGAACATAATTCCAAAATAGCTATGCTACATTGACGGTTGGACCCGAAATTTTGTTTGCAAATTTTTATATTTAATTAGAAGAAATCGATGCAACGTAGAATGGAACATATCCCAAAATATGCCTCCGCATTTGAAACATCACGTACAACAGATCTTTGAAACAGTTTACTCCAACGTAAACTTTATTTTATTTGCCGTAATCTACTTGATAAAATTTTCAAAAGTTGAAAATTATAAAATTTCAAAATTTTAAATGACAATTTTGAAGCGCTATAACTTCTTGCCCCCATTCATGTTTTTCTCAATTTTTTGAAATTATGATCTAATATCGAAATAGTTAACAACA